TTGGAGGCCACAATTGGTGAGGGCCAATGGGAAATTTGGGCAGGATGCTGGGGTTACACCCCTTTTCAAGAAACCCTCTGGGTTTTTTTAATGACCACAGAGAGTCTCATCTGAAAGATGGCTTCTTTTTACAGTATAGTGTCCCCGTCACTATACTGGGGCATTAGGATCCACATAGACTGCAGGGTGAGCACCCCCTGCTGGCCCCACTAACACCTCTTCCAGCAGCATCCTTAGTTGCCCATCCAGGTACTGACCAGGCTCACACCTGCTTCACTTCAGTTGGTTGCCAGTTGTGAGTTGAAGGGCTGCTGGCATATCACCCTGACTAAGCCTCTTCAGTCTTGAACAAAAAAATAAGAAACACAAACTAGAGAACAGAAGTGGTAACTACAGGGTTGTAGAAAATTGAGGATAGAATAGATGGCACTTCTTTTCATAAAGGGTTGTGGGAGTCAGGAACAAGCTAACCAGGCATGTTGTCAAAGCTGATAACCTGACCTCGTTTTAAGGAGCTACAGGATTAGCTATTTGGATAGCTTCTAAACATCAAAATGGATTGAAATTCTGTCTGCAAGCTCTCTTCTGTTCTAGAATATTTTTCTGGTTCTAACACTGTGAATATGACAACAAAAAACAGTTTTGGACATACAGTATTCAGGTATTCCAATGAATAAAAAAACCCATAAAAGTATTGAAGAGAGACCACTTCTTAGTCACAGCATGTTTGTGACTGTGCTTTTAAGACATTCACCTTGGCCATAAGAAGGTGTCTATACTGAGATTGCTTCAGAAAAACCCTCAGATATGCTTTAGTCCTTGGCTCTGTGAAGGGTAGACAAAGTCTTATTCTTCAAGATGAAAGCAGACATTGCATATAACTGTGGTTAAATTAAAACTTATTGCCTCACTGCCAAGGCAGGCTTTGAGACTGCCATCTCTATAACAGATGTGTGGTCTGTGACAAGGGAAACAGTGATACTTTACAAACTCAGCTAAGATGTGAGGAGGTCAGAACATATGCAGTTAAGGAGCATTTGTGTTCCAGGACATACGCAACCTTTGGTAAAGGCACAGGAAAAACACCAGAAAGGCTGATTTGCGAGTGTCCGCAATTCCCCATACCTTGTAATCTGGACGTTCTGATGATCGTGTGGCTTGTTAAAGGCTTTTACTGACAACTCAACAGAGGAGAGGACAGTTTGCCAAAGGCTTGTGTGGTTGAGACAGACTGCTCCATGGGACATAACTCAATGTGGTGTCAGTATTGAACTTTTCTTGGAGAGAAATAACCCTCCAAGACAAAAATGCAGTCTGTACATTAGGCAACAAATTGAAAAAATCAGAGAGTTTTGTTCTATACACATATGTATTTTGTATTTTATTTCAATTTTTATTTCAAGCCTTAAGCACAACATAGCTAAAAGGTCACTTTAAAATCATCAGGTCCCAGACCCTCAAGAACAACAAATTATAAACTGTAAAATGCTAAAGGTGATATCAGTGTGTCAGAGATGCACCAATAAAATCCCAAGATCCTCTGGGCTATAAGAAGAAATCAGCGAGAACCCAGCTCTTCCAGGTAAGCCAGCACCAAGCCCTGTTGAACTGCTGAATCTCTTGTTTCTCACTATTTTCTCCACGGCTGCACCCAACAACTGGAACTCATTATTGCAAAGGCACATGGGATTTATCTAACTCTTCGGGTATTGCAGAGTGAAATGTCTGTGGCATCCCCTAATGATTTCTTGTTTTGGAGAACTGCAGAATGTCTTAAATGTATTTGGCACCACAGTTCAACTTTGCAACAGTATTAATTTCTTGCTGGCTTTTCTTTTAACTGAATCAAACCCCTACTGTTGACTTGGGTATTTTTTTTTTTGTACTGGCACTTTCCTGTTTCTTGATGTGGCATTTGATTTAACATGTTTTTCACTCACTGCAATGAAGGCAAAAGGGTATTTTTTTCTCAAGGGAGGATTTTCGTTTTTCATTAACCGGAACTGTTTTCATATTTAACCTGCTATCTACTTAGTAGTCCATCATTAAATTAGTGTTGAATAAAAAACAACAACTTTCTATTCATGGGTATTTAACTCTTGGATTGTAGCTTCATACACAGAGATTTCCTATGTAGACAGTATAGACAGGAAAGTAATTTAAGTGATCTAAAGATGGGGAAAATAGTTTCCACCTAAAATTCAAAATACACTAGCACTGTGCTGAAATTAATTTGTTAGAGTTAGTTCCTAGAATTTATTGTAGTGTTTTACTTTCAGTAGTAAGCAAATAAGATAGTATTGCTTTCAGTTCTTACAGTAAGTAAAATTGTTCAATTCAAAATGTCATGATCTAAGGAAATTGTTAAGTTGTGTCTTATATAAAAATATAGCATTTCCATCCGTGAAAACACTGTGATGAACAAAAGACTTGCTTCTGGAAACAAATGTTACGATATTTTCCAATGTCATCATTCACCAACTACATTCTTGTACTGCTACAGTCAGCCTGAATATGCTGATAAATATGTCACAGATTTATTTAAAATGAACTTGCAAAGTGATATTTTAAGTAGAGAATTATTTAATCTCTATAACAGTGGTCATTTCAATACTGATATTTTAACAGTGCACGTTAAATACAAAATTATGCTGACAATTCTTAAGATTCATATACCATGAAACATAGTCTTCTACACCTCATGAATGTATTTTAAAGCCCCAGTGGGAGGTAAGAAACCATGTTATGTAACAAACAGGAACTGGTTTACAGATCATTGCTATGAATTTGTTTTACTGTAGTTTTTAAAGAAGCAGGCCTTGACTTGTCTGGTATGGTTTATTTGGCGACACACAGGGCTTTGCCACTCTTCAGATAACCAAGACTTGCTTGTCAGCTGGCAGGACAGTGGAAGTTGTCAGACAGTCTCTTATTAAATTGAATGTTGTCTGATTTATTAGCACAGGAGTTAGGGAAGGACCAATAAATCAACTGCAGGGACCCTAACAGCCCAGAAGAGTCTGTTAAATTAAAGCATATGATTTAAGTTTCACAGTTAAGGTATGCCAAGCACTCTATGTAGTAAAAACATAAGTTTGTAATTATAGTTTTCATGGAGAAATTACAGAATATTGCTTCCTGGTAATGCAGACAAATACCTACTGTAGCAAGATGATGACTTCTTCTGAAAAGACTGTTGTACCATTTCTCTCCAGGCAGAATCCTTCTCCCTTTAAACAATGGAGCACCTGTTGCTTTTCAAGGCAAATGCCACTTTGATGCATCATACAAGACTAAGTAACACAGCAAGACATTCCACAATGAAGAAATGTAATGGAGTTCTTCATTTCCCCAGTTGAACAGTCCAAGTACAGGCAGCCTGTACTACAGTAGTAGGCAAGTCAGATTAGAAGGAGTCAGGTCATGGTGAGTTACTTCATGAATACAATCAAAGTACATTGGTAGTGTCAAATACAGCGATAAAAGGCAGTGATAATATATGATGTTAGTAAGAGTAGCTTCAACTCGAAATGATCAGCAGAAAAATGTGAGATGTTACGACACTAAGCAGATAAAAGAGGGATTCTGTATGGAGAAACCTTATGATGGCCTTTGGAGCTCTGGTTGAACCCATAAGCAAACACAAGCCTTTGTGAGGCCAATCACTGTTCATATCTTCTCTGATTTTATTTCAGAACATCCTTCTGTAGTTCTTTAGTAGTGTAACAGGAATATCATATATAATTTATTGCATTCTATTACTTCTCAAAGTCTTTACATGGGTTTGGAATAAATCCATAGTTCTGTTTGTATCCATTGTTTAACCAGATAAGTCAGTTGAGGACAAATGATTTACAACTGTTTACAATGGCAACCAGGAGAGTACTTTATACAGCAGGGTATTTTACTGGAGTACTGTGAATGAAGTACCTTGCTTAAGGTTACAACACCAATCTCCCACCTGGCATTTGACCCCAAGCTCTCCAATCAAAGCACTAACCACTATTCTAGGTTTAGATTTAAGCCCTCGATTTGCTTATTTCTTAGACGTGGATGTAAGTTTAGCCACAAAGCAATGAAAGGTCTACGAATCTGATATAAGAGCTGATATGAGGGAATGCTTTAAAAAGTAAAAGGGCATCTGGATCTTGCCTTTCTCTGTGACCGTTTTACACTGCTCTGTAAAGATTTTAGACATTTAACATTCTTTTGTTTTCTTATTTTTTCCTTCTTTATACAGGTACACAATTCAGTGATTTAATTTTTTATTAAATCATTTTTTAATCTTTTTAACATTTATTAACTTAATCTTGATAGATCTATATTTTGTAGTACCAAAATAGCATTTTTGCTTTATGTATGGAGAGAATAGTAAATGATAATAATGAAGGGGATAAGCAAACAATGAATGATTTTTAAGGCTCTCTTCAGTGTGAATTCTAGATAGATAAAGGATCAGCTTGGCTGCTTAAGCTACAGTATACTAGTAAGTTACAGTTGTTATAATAATAGAAAACACCAGTGTGGCTTAAAGTAAACTGTTGGCACTCGTAACACATGTATACTTTAACTTTTGATTGTGTCTAGGAGTTTTGCACAGCGGCATATATGTTTTATTTCTAATACAAGAAATAAACAGGAAGCTCTTTCCTTTACTGGAGAAAGGGCACAACAATTGTGAACACAACTAGCACAAGCTGGGATTCTAGCCTTTATCACAGGATAGCTAGACTATGCCAGCAGTCAGAAACTGGCATCTCCAACACCTCCGTGCAAACTGTCACCATATCAGGCTCTCAGGTTGGTATTTCTGGTTTAAGGAAAGGTTTTGCACATTGGCTGACTTTTCTTTGGTGTATCTCAGCTTCAGGCAGTAGTTAGATTCTGGGACGTAACATGTCACAACTTGTGGTGGCGTAAGGAGTAGAGAAAAAGGTCAAGGGTCGTAAATGACCAATTATTGGTAATTTGACTTATAAACAGTCTAGAAATAACGGTACCTGCACCACAGGATGCCCTCCTGCCAGTGCCTTTACTGCACCTCGGCTTCCTTCCGTTTCATAATGAGCGCGATGATGGGATTTGGGCTGCACCTCAATCTGCAGGCTGTAAGCACCGGAGCAGGATGGCAGCTGCCAGTCGAGGGCTGGCAGGGAGGGGCTGTAACAAACAAGTGTTCAGATTAAACATTCATGACCCTGCAGATAAAGCACAGACCACAAAGGAGCACAGCGCGATTACTTCCAAGACCACAGGAGGCAGCCCATCTATCCCCATCTCACATTGGCCATATCCATCAATAACGATCATACCATGACATAAGTAATTTAAAAGGCTTGGACATCAGTGATGGCTGTGTTATGAAGATTAATGGGCTATATTTGCATTTTTATCAGGACTGAGAAGTTTCTCTTTGGTTTGATGGGGTGCAAACCTTATCCTAATGCAATTACAATGCATGTACAATTAAATCAGGCAAAACTACAAGAAGAAGAGAATATTAACTCAATTAGAAACTGTCCTTTAGAATTTTCCTGGTTTAAAATATTACTTTTTTATTTTATCTTGCATGTAATCACATTTATATATCTTATGGTATTACAGAAGCCATCACTTGCATCGTGAGTATAAGGGAAGCAGAATGAGGCTGAGTGGTTCAAGCTTTGCAAACGTTGCAAAATAACTTCTCTTACACCACAAGAGAAAACCATCTCATGACATATGAACATCGTAAAAATCACCCAAAAATGCCTCCCATATGCAGCTTTGAAAAGGACTTTTATTGTTTTTGAAATGTAACACTCACACTAAAAGAAACTCAAGTTTCCTGTTAAATTAAAATTAATATGTTTTAAGACAGGCCTATTTTCTTATTGAATGAGCTTAAAACAGGGAACATTGCCAGTGCGTATCTAGAAGTATTTAATTCTTGTATCTAACAGTCAGGACGCCAGAAATTAAGGACACAGATCAAGACTGTTAAGATTTCTTTGCTTCTCACACTATAGCCATCAAATGACTATATTTTAAAAAGAATATGACAAGACAATTTGATATAACATATGACATATGACATGACTGATTTTTTAGGACCTACTGTACATAATGTATGTACACAGTAACATGAAATACTGTAAATTGCAGTTTAGAAGCAACAGTTTATCAGCAAACCATACCCAGATTTCTAGAAAGGAGCACTGAATTTTCTTTTTCTTTTTTAAAGACACAGATCCACAAAAATGTCTGTCTACTGTTTTTGATCGACACCTACTTTTTACTGTACTAGAGCTACAGTAAGTCCCATCCCATCCCACAGTCCCTATCTGTGCTTTTAGTGATGATTCCCAAATGGGTTGGGACTTCTTTGGGTAAAAACATCTACATCTTAAAAACGAAACGTTTGAGACCTCTAATCTCAAAGCATAATTCTATTTGTTGCGCTTTTCATGACCTGTATGAAAATGAAATTCTTGTGTTAATTATGAAATTGCTCTTGAGTTTTAAATAATTCTGTCTGGATATAAGTTGCAAGACAGTACTGATGTCCTCCCCACTACTCAGTAACAAGTTTACTGTGACTGATACGACATTTATGGCTATAAAAGAACATAGCAAGAAGAGCGTTTATTCCAACTCTCCTGGTTCTGTGGCATGCCATGTGAACTTCAATAGAGCTAAAAAAGGCTTCTTATGTAAATACTGGAGAAATAAAACTAATAATAAATGTACTTTATGAACTTTTTATGTCTTCTCCAATCAAAATCCCATGACCTAAATGTTACAGTGTCCTCTCGGAACTCTCTCTGTTTGTTTGTTGACCTTGCAGCCCCAAAATGAACCAATTTCCCTTCTTCCTTATCACCGCAGTCAAAGCATGACATCACATTAGTAGCAAAAAGAGGTCAACATGAAAGCACAAGGCAATGCAATTATTCCACCAACTGTTTCCCTCTGTTTGGCTGTCAAGATCATTTCCTATTTGAGATTATCTTCATCAAACACTGTATTTCCTACAGGAAAAAATGTCAGTGGAAAAATTCTACTGAGTCAATATGAAAATTCTGTATAGGATAAATCATGTTAAATAAAGTGCTTTCACATAAGAGGAAGTATGACCACAGATATTGTGAAATTACATTTTTTATACATTTTAGTAATCAGTGCATGACCATTTCTGAAGTGGGTTTGATTTTCAAAGCAATCCATCTGAAAGTAAACAGAAATTAATTTGAACTGTTATTGTACTGCTCTTTGAAGATAGAAATCATTATATTACTACAATAATTACAAACTACAATTTCAGGGAACAAATATGCTGAATATATATAGAGATTTGCTCTGCACAGGAAAGACCAAATATCATGATATTGTATAATGATAGGCATGCAAAAATAAATATTTATATATATATAAAATCATATACGGAATGTGATGAGCCTGTCTCTGTAATTTAAATATTTATTGCTGCTACACCTAAAATAGTATCATTTCTCAGTTTCACATGACTTGTGAAGTAACTCATGTAGGAAACTTAATCATCACTTGGAAACATTAATACTTAAAATAACCACATTTCCAGGTTTTTCACCAAAATGGGGTTTTCCCTCCAGGGTGTGACCATTTTCTTCTGAATAAGTGACACATTTTACATGCACCAAAACACACCTTCAAAATACTATCTTCTTTTTCAAATTAATTAACAATTTTAATTGTTGGATGCAACCCTTAGTGTAACATAAACAGATACACCATACTGTACATTGTATTGTGAATTCCCTTTGAGAAGTACTTTTTGAAATAACTGATTAATAGGTTTTGGAGTGACAGACTGAAATTATGGTGGTCTGTAAATTCACATTTAGTTAACTGATTCTTGGCATTTTTTATGATAAAAATGTCCTGGGTTTTATAAAAAAGCTGTTGTAATATTTTAGTTGTGTGTTTTAACTGGCCTCAGTTACTGAATATCCCAAATTTATGTATAAAAAATTAGCTTAGCAAATGTGCAAATTATCATTATAGAAACATTTTAGTTTGTGGCAGAAAAAAAAGTGCCTACATACTGTACAGTCAGCCAGAAATGAGAACACATATCACTAAACCTACAACAACACAAATGATCAATTTCCACTTTGATTTAATGCCAATTAGGTGCTGAGGGAAAAAAAAAGTTGATATCAGAATTCATATTTTATTCCTTTAACTACATCAATCAAGCACATTTTCAAACGTAAAGAGCCTAAAGAATATCCATTTATTCAGCTATCAGGGTGTGGTGATTTAAAGGTTTTATTGCTCTATTTCAGTTTTGTTAACTCATTTCAATGAAGAGAGTACTACAGAGACAAAAATCTTCAGCTCTTCAGACTATGAATGCAACACCACAGGTCAACACCATTAGCAGCTTAGGAACCTTTAAAAACCCCATTTCAAAACCGATTTTCATTTCAGAAATGAATCTTGCCTCCTCAGAGAAATGTCTTATATAACAAAACCAAATTAACTTAAGGCAAGGCATCAGTGCTGATAACTTTCAAGAACAGGCACTGACGCTGGGTGAGGCTAGAGGAACAGTAAGTAGACAGCTTCGACTACCTGCGTCACTCAGCCTAGTCAGTATAAAAATGTTTCATTAAGAGGGGGTAGGAGCATTAATGCAGAATAGTTGGAATAAGACCATCTTGAAAACCTCTTCCTCAAAAGAAATACTGCATTGTCTGTGTTCTACAAGATTAAGAGGTTTTCTTACCTGATATAAGGTTTTGGCTTGTTCCAGCTGTAAGGGGCAGGGGGCACGACCAAGAAGTCCCCGCAGAAGCTTTCTTTTTTGAAGGGTAAGCGTGGATTAGAGAAGTCCTCTTGGGGAAGCTCCCCAGAACCTAGGTCCTCTCCGCCTGGCTCCACCTTGAGGCTCATGGTGGGGCTGTGATCCATCATGGTTTTCCTCGACTTCACAGGGATTCCTTCCCCAAGGTCTGTAACCCCATCAGTGGTCAGGGCATTGATGGCAGCTACAATAGCTGAGTTTGTGTACTGGTTGGTATTAGGCAGCCAGGTCTCATCTGTCACACTGACCCGTGGGGAGTTCTGGGGTGAGGGTGTTGGGGAGTGATTGGGAGAGTAAGAGGGGTGCCTGCAGGGGACACCATTGAAGCTGTACTTCCTCTTGCTGCCGCAGGGCGAGGAGGGCCTGGGACTCCGATTGCCTGTCCAGCTCTCTTCAGTGATGCTGGTCCTCGGGGAGGTGGAGGGCGAGTGCCTTGGGGAGGCTACAAGAGGGCACGGCACCAGCCCCTGGTGAAAACGCTCATCCTGGGCTGTGCCCTTGGGAGACACGCAAGGGGACTGCCAGGGCGAGTTCTGGGGGGAGTTGTCATAGTTGTAGGAGAAGTTTGACTCATAGGACGAGGCTTCCGAGTTGCAGCTCCGGGAGGACAAGCTGCTGGCGGGGCTCAGACAGCTGGGATCCCTGTAGTTGTCCGCATTTGGCAGGGTCAGTGTGACAATGGAATTGCCCCGCTTGTTGGGCATGCTCTCTTCGATCTCATCCTCAGGGAACTGGTTGCCATGGTGCAGCCCAGTGTAGGGTGTGATTTCAATCCGAGGGCTTTCCAAGGCTGGAGCTCCATTTGGCCTGATGCTAGGGGACAGATAGTAACCAGGGGCTCCATTATCCTCGTGACCACCATAGCCAAGCTGATGGTTGGAAGACACAGAGATAACCGGGCTGGACTGGAGGTTGTGGTAAGGCGTTGAGAGGCAAGGGTTCCCCATGCTGAGTGGAAGAGTAAGGCTGACGTTTGGGGCATAGCTGAAAGCCTCTAGAAAAACAAGAAGCATGACTTCATTAGAGTGCAGCACCAGTAGACCCCCCCAGGGGCTAAAACAAACACAAAAAATAAAATGAAGAAGTCTGACATGTGTTGCAGTGGCTGTGTGCCTAAGGCCAAATCAACAGGTGGCTAGTATCAAAGGACATTAATACAGTTAGTTCCACCAAAATGGTTCTCAAGCAAAGTAGAAATTGTATAACAATTGTATCATGCCTTCAGAATAGGACTTTGTTATATCTACTGTTATATCTGATAGCACACCTGTTGCTTAGTACAGCCTAGTCTGTAGACTCTTGACACTACAACACTCTGCTCTGATATGCAGACTCAACACAGAAGATGCCCCAGGACCTGAGAGCTCTGAGAAAGCAGCGCAAACCTGCATGGGGTACGTTTGCCTTTCATACTGTACGTCACTAACATGCATGAAAACGTTATTTAGATTGACATTGTTAACTCTGACATTCGGCAATAAAGAATATTTGGCCTGAAAAAAATATAAGCCTCTTCTCAACAGCTGGAGAAAACGTGGGATAATTTATCTCCTATAGTACACTCAAGATATGTTTAGACTAGACTCCAGTGTATCTGCGACTGAAGCTACTGGAACAAATTGAGTCACATTTTAAATATTGTACCATTAAAGTTACAGAGGGCTCAGAAGAAAAAAATTAATACAATTACCTATTTATCTGGTAATACTTTTCTAATAAAACAATTGAAAGGTGTACATATGTACATAAGGTTTAAGGAACCTAAAACCTGATTTTCAAAAATAATAGGAAAATTATTGTCCTATCATTTGCCAAATTGGTGACAAAATGCAAGAAGTAATTGTTATTCAGAGCGTTTCTATCTTTTTCACAAGACATAATCACCTGTATTACATTAAAAACAAAAGCATTAACTGTAAACAGAATCAGTTAACTAAAACTAAATACCAATAAACAAATTAAATAAAAAAATACCTCTATTGTAAATGAATCAGTTTTTTTTTTTAATACAGTGATTTGTGAAGGTTTTTTTCCTTGAAGGGAACTGTATAATATAAAGTTTGATTGATTGTATAAGACCAGCTTTGGTGGAGCACAACACAGATACATTTCACAAGAATACAAGTTCTTTTTGTAAAATTGTGGGGTTTCCCTTCCAGAGCTCTTCAAGACTTCTGTAACTTCAAGGCCCTTGCACCTTCCTTGTTAGCTCATCATGAAGTAATACATGAGCTGAATACTCAGTATTGTAGCAGTTCTAACCTGACGTACTGTAGCACACACCATACATAATTATTGCACAATCAAACTGGCTCAAGTTACTTTTTCCTATTACTGGAACAATATACTGGTAAAAAAAAGAATCAAACACTGCAAAATACAGGGCACACATTTCCATACTCACAAAATATGAATATGTCTGGTACTAAGACATAGGATTGACAACTATTAGATGTTGGAACTTTCAGGCTACGATAAAACTCTCTGTGGTTTGTCAAACTAAGAACATACAGTGTCCTAAAATACTGAAAAAAACATAAACAGCTACTGACCATTCCAGGTTTCTGTACAAGCCAAGAAACATTTGCTTTTATTTTCTTTTACAGTTGTTAATTGGGGTAAGATATATTTTTTTCAATTCCAAAGTTTTAGAATCATTTTGTTTTCCCCATCACCTTTGCCGTATTACTTGATTTAACATTTATTTGAAGTATTAGATAGCTCACCACACTTTTAAAATAACCCAAAAAGACAGAAATCACCCTCCGCCCCCTGAAAGCCCTTTTCTCGTCCCCATTACAGACCTTTATAGCTGTTAGCTTCTTCACTTTGGTTGTACTCAAACAGAAAATTAAAATCGAATTCCGGTTCTTCTGGAACAGTGGTCATCGTTTAGCCTCAGCAACACAGACTTTCTGAACTGCTTAAACTTGTTACAGTTAAGGTATGCTTTAAGTGCCGTTCGTATCAGCCCACATGTGCTGCTCGTAGGCTGGAGGCAATACTGCTCACAATATCCGATGTGACAGAGGAAACAGTGACAGGTGTTTAGCATAAGCTTCCTAGTCACAAGCTTTGTAGCTGCTCTTGGGAGTCTCAGCCCTCTCTCTCTCTGCTTTCACTCGTTCACACTATCTGATGCTGTCTCTGAAAACGTAAAACATTGCATTTCCGGGTCTGCAACACACATGACATCAGAAAGACAAAACAAGAAAACCTGCTGTCCGTCAACTTTGTTGAAGGAAGGAGGGGTTGGGGGGTTGGGGGTGTGTGGAAGTAATCTAAGAAAATAAAGAAGAGTCATTGTAACTAATCATGGTGTGATTGTTTCCTTCTTTTGTAAACATGGATTTTGTGCTCATAGGTTTCCCTTCTTACACAGCAAATGGAGGATATGAAAAGCTTTTGTGGAAACCAGAGCTATCTTTAGTTTATCAAAGATGTAGATAGTTTGTCTGATGGAAAAAGGAAGAGAAAGGAGAATTCCCTTGAACTTTACAATAAACTGCTGAAGTCTTCTCTAATTTGGTATACTATATAATATGTGAGACTGGTGTATTTTATTTTAATAGTCTAATTGTAAAATGTTTACCTGATCAGATTGAACCCTGTGTTTTTTTTTTAATGGCTCAACTACATGAATCAGAGACAGTTGTGCACCTGCTCTGAAATTTAGGCCTCTGTAGAATTACGAAATTCTGGTGCTTCAGACAAACTGAAAAACATTCTTAATGGCATTACACAATCTTGGGACCACAAAAATTCAGAATACCAATACTGTTTTATGTACCGGGGATGTTTCTAATGCTGTTATAATCCTCTCAAAAAACAAGTTGTTTAAAAACATAAAAAGTGCCTAGTTTCCCACAAACAGGAGTTTTAATACATCATTCTTCAGAAGAAGGTGCTCTTTTTTTCTTTTAATCAAGCAATAGGAATGATGGGGTGTCTTTATATCACTATTATTGGTATAGTTCCTTATTAATCAATTATCATACTGATATGGGTGACTGGTATGTGGGTTAAATTCTAGCGTGATAAGGAGTACAGTAGGAGCAGGAGTCTTTAAGTAGAATAGAGGTCTAGGCTTGGGATGGAAAGTTGTTTGTTGGTTGGTAAAGCTGTGTGTTACAGGAACTCATGGTAAGTCAACCAAGACTTGTTGACTTAACACACGAAAATCACACCTTTACTCCTAATCAACTAATTACTGTACTTTACCAAATTAAATATGTATTTTCAATATACCGAGCCCCAATCAATCCAATTTATAGATAATTTAAAAGACTTGATGCACTACTAGACTCAAAGATCACAGATGTGCAATGCTGTACTACTGAGAAGAATATCAAATCAGAGGATTTCAACTGCCTACACTTTGTACACCTTTGTGAATTCATTTATAGGGTTACGGATTCCAGACAGACTCTTAAGTAAATTAACTTAATATTTTGGCCAGTAAGTGGATAATTCTTTTATTTGTTTTAGACTTACTGTAAATCTAATCTAAAATCAGAATGGTACCTTAACCAAATAAATGCTCTTAAATGTTATTAAAAAATCTTACTTTTTTAGATGATATTCTACAACTAGGGATGTAAATTGTAACAAATGGGCCAAAGTGAATACACATCCATGAAAGCTATACTGCGAATGTTTAATGTACTGTATTTTCAAATTCCACAGTAAGAAAGGAACCATTATATTACTTGCAATACCAACACATTGCCAAATGATGCAATTCACAGGTCTATCCTTTCTTTCTATAACATAAAAACAATGGAATTTTTCTTTTAAATGTAATAGATACCCAATAACAAAGAAAACCCTCTGCTAAGGAGTTGGACAATACTTTTCTGTTTGTTTTTTCTCTCTCACACATTCACTTTTCTAGGAATCCCAATTTTATATGCACTAGATGAAAAGCATTACACACAGAAATTGTTTAAAACAGAAACATAAATAAACCAGGTTCCTGACTTTATGAATTGCTCACTTTTTGAGTTTCTTAGAGTGCAGTGCTACAATCTATTAGGTTAGCTAATTACTGAGTGCTCTGCAAAAGCATATTCTTTCCTGGATCTATATACTGTACAGCATGGAGATTCAAACAGCAAGTTTGTGCAGCAAGGATGCACACACTGGAATCAACGCATTTTCAATATACTGTACAGAGTGTGAACTGTTTCAAACTCCTGGTAACAGGTGCTAGCTATAAGCATAAAAATGTTTTGTCTTTCAGCACATCCCTGTTTTGCATGAGGACTTCTGATTACATGCATGCATAATTAATACAACTTTTGAATAAAAGGCTTTCTCTTACACAAGAGAAAGTCAAGCCTTATAAAGCCTATTTTAGTAACTCATAAATCAACACTTTTGAAGTCCATCCTGCGTAATACACAAAGTACATTTTCCCCTTAGTGATCATCAAGCATGTGGACATGAGTTTCCTCATTTATAATATGACATTGTATTGTTAATCACAAAACCTGATCTCATTCATGCCTTGTACACTCTGTTGCACTAGGTTTGTACTACTTTCATGCATAGGTTCTACCACACGTAAAATGCCACTATGATCCTGTAAAAACTGTTCAGTTGGGCACAAGAAAAGCAAAGCAATAATAAATTAGATTTAAGATATTTCTCTTCACAACTGCATGAAACAAATGTAGGTACTGTAGCAACATTTCTTACATATCTGACACAAAGTCTTTCAGAAATAGTGAGCCCTTACTTCTTAATTCAACAATTAACAGCCAGCACGTCCACTTTAATTCTGTGTCTTCAATCAATATGTACTGTATGTAAAGAAATGCGAAAGGGCCTCTGACCATGTGGTTTGTTTGTGCATTTATTTACTGACCGGTGTATTTCAGACAGATTGTGAAGGAAACTACTGTATCAGACCCGCCTACACAAACTCACAGGGAGATGTCTTGCACCATCTAAAACTGGTAAAAATAAAACTCACACTATATGGCTCCAATTATTTATTTTTATAAATAACACAATATGTGATTTTTAGTCTTAGAAGAATCCTTTCTGTGAGCTTATAAAGATGGCTCTTGTGTTTTCTCCATCTTTTTTCTCTTAGTTCCCTCTCTCCTTCCCTGTTCTGCTCGATTAGCTGATTTTTTATGGTGACCGTGTTAATGATTGTTTACATGTTTAAGAGAAAATGAAATGCAATCCAATAAACCAATTTTAGAATCTGTTCCACTCATCTGCAATTTGGAAAATCAAACTGCATGTATATACAGTATGTACTCCAATTCTGTTACAGATGGATTCTGTGCAGAAAAAGTGGTCTAATGATTTAACAACAACTTTCAAGTTCCTTCAGGCTTTCTGTGATATATAAATATTTGAGCCCTATCCAAAAAGTAATTCTAAACAGTTTTAAAGTACTTTTAAAAACCCACACACCAAAGTAGCAAATTAAATAAAACTAATACACAATTATATTTTAACATACTGTCCAATGGCAAATTGCATAACAAATCCACAAGAACAGCCCTCAAGAAAGTGTGCAGTTCATTTCACGACAGCACTCAATATTTTTTTGATCAGATCCTAACTTTATGTTGTGTTAAGCTCTTTGAATTGTGAATGATACCACAGTATCATTAAAACTGTATCAGCCATGGTCAGCTATTTTCTACAAAGAGTTTAACACATTTTCATTGTCAAAGAAAATCAGGTTGTGTTTTCTTTGCAGAGGGTTTCTCAATATGTTTCTTATGAGAAGTATGCGTCCATCACAGCACAGATGTCACTGACGCCGATGCTATATTATCTTATTGATTTGACCACATGATATTGCAAATACTGTTTTAAGAATTACACAGGCAACTAACATAATGGAATACAGCAAATCAAAAGTCAACAAAATTGTTTATTCAGGCAACCTTCAGGGCCGAGCAAAAGGGTCGACGTTCTTTGAACACAAAATCAGGTAGACTCAGGAGAAGAGATTATGTGAATGCTGGAAAAAGTATCTTATTGTTTAGGCCATCAAGAAATATTACAGTATGGATAAAGACAAAGTTCAATGTTGTAGAATGCCTTGGGAGACTGATCTACAGAACAGAGTTTTAGTGTTATCTTTTTGAAAAAAATATACAGATTTTTCAAATTATATTGCAGGCTTGGATTAGCATATTGGTTTTTTAGCATATCTAATTTAGAAGGATGCTGACTGATTGACCGACTGATACCAATCTGACCATTCACATCCCTACAGCATTTGGCTGTCAGTTAAATAGGAAGATGTCTGGTGAAGCTGCCATCACAGTATTGACTTTAGGCTTCAACCACTGGAGTCTGGCTCTCATATAGCCTTAAGTTACCACAAAAGCAGTAGGGGGGATCAACATCTTGCTGGAGTCAGCATGCTGGTTATATCAAGTGATGATGCGCTTCCACCAGCCAAGGGGATGGAGTCGCCAGTACCCCAGTCTGCTATCAATTATAAGACTTACAAGTCAACATTTCAGCAATTGAAAATAATGATAGGTTGTCCCTCCTAGAGTCTATGACATCAACAGCTGCATTAAAAACTCATTGGATGATGTCACTCCAATGCATTTATTTAAGTGTATTTGTACCTGTGAAGACATTCATACATGTACTGTACCTTGTGTGGTGCTGTCAGAGTTCCTGTTCCTGCATGCATTAAAAAGGCAGGAGGTAAATCTTTTATGAAATATTCCATTGGCTACCCTCTTCGCAGCATACAGTAGACAGTATATATTCTAAAGTAACAGGAAAGGTATACAGTCAAATTAAAGAGAGCACACTGACCTGATTTTTCTTCTTTGGCGATTTTAAGATTAGTAACTGATAAGGTTTTCATCATTTGCAGCCCAATTTCTTACGCAAAAGTTAAACATTTTTTTTGTAATCCAGCATATAATTAAAATCTTGTTGTTTTTTTTTTTGGGGGGGGGGGAGTTCTACAATTAGGGTGGTGAAAATTGCACATACTGTACAGTAAAACGACAGTACAGTAACTATAGCCCTGCAATCGCAGGAGCCTCCCAGGGCACCCCGTAAGTACACGATGCCAAATTGGCAAAACCTTGAGTGATGCAGCAACAAGTGCCGGTTTATTCGACTTGCAGAGTACAGAGCACAGAGGCAGGATACCGACACTGAACGTCTGTGGAAAATTAAAGCACTACAGTAGGTACAGTACCTTGACTAGCAAATTACACTCGCCTCGATTTTTCACTCAGGAGACCTCCCAGTCAACAAGTGCAAGCGCGTAACGAAATAAAAGAAGTGAGGAAAGGAAGCTGAATTGGTTTTTAATCGACTCTCCACACATTGGCACACATTTTTCTTCCAGTAAAGAACTAACGTCTAATATCTAAGGGTAATACAACAGCAATGTAGTTTTCATTTCGGGAGAGCAGTTTGGAGTTAATATCTGAACAGGAATCCACGGGAAATTAAGGTGTTCGTATTATTAATATTAATATTAAGGAGTAGTAGTAGAAGTAGCAGTAGCATTATGAGTAGTCTAAGATTGCTGGTCCACTTACAGTACATCCCATGAATTACATTTTACGTATAGTGACCCACGCAACCTCTATTAGTTATTACTTTTCATACACCTCAGACCAAGACACATTAAGGTGAAACTGAACGAGAAGCGATGGTTGAGTGGATTCTGCATTTTTCCAAATGGTTTCTACAAAGTGTTACATCAGAACTTTGCTGTTAAGCTTTGCTGTAATGTAAAATTTACAACGCCGCGCTATGAGTTATACAGAGGAGACACCTATAGGCAATAACCCGTAAGAAAAAAAAAGCCTTTTCGGTTGCACTGGGAGACAAGTGGTCTACCACAGCATCACACACTTGGGCTGAGGGAATCTTACTAATTTTAATTCATTTTCCTCTGTAGTAGTTGTCGCGAATTAACTCACAGTAAATCGTCCTGCAGACGTGAACCAAGAAATTCTGAACCGGTTGGCTAAAACCATTACGAAAGTCTCTGCTACTGTACATCGGTAACAGTAAACCGTAAAAGTTGCACAGATATTTTTATGTATATATATAGCATAGTTACCTTCCTCAGCAGATTTCATGGTGGTGTAGGGCGGGAATAAATGCAATTCCAAAGTTTCCTTTCCTACAGATGAAGAAAAGAGTGGTCCGAAGGTGAACTTTGAAGAGACACTCAGATAGCTATTATCCTGCATTCAATCAGCGGCAGGTCTCCTTTCTCGGTAGTAACAATGTCTCAAAGGATTGGTATAGTTTCCGAGATCCCGTTTCTACTAAAGAAGTCTAAAAATATTGTTCTTTTTTTAAATAGGAAAGTTAAGGCTTACAAAAACTCCAAAAAATCTTAGAATAAAAAAACAGTAAAAAAATGCCTTCAGTCCAAGTGACAGTAAAAGACTGATATTTAAGAACAGGGGATATGTATGGGCATAGCGGCTGCAGGGAAGTTTAGCGGAGTGGCTGCCTCTCTTAAAAGACAAGGAATGGTTTGGAGTGTTTTGCTGTCTCTCGTGATAATGTAATTGAGATTTTCAGTGACTCTGTCTCTCTGTGACGCAGAGCTTGTCAAGAGTAGACTCCTGCCTTTTTAAAGCTGGAAAACACCTCCAGAACCTCTCCCCGCCCTCTGTTAGTGACGTTTATACCCTCTCCCTGCCAGCTCCCAGCCGAAAAGCTAACTGAGGGAACAGAGATTAGAGCCGTAGGACTGAAACGCTGCGGATGGAGTCAGAGAGGGCTATCGTTGGCGATCCTGAACAGTGACCCGTTCCTTTTACTCTGCTGGAGTCCCGTCGTAGCGTAAAAGACATTTGTTTACAAAGATATAAAAAACAAAGATTATAGCTTGAGTCTTTCTGGACTACTGATACAATGGACTCCGCCGAAGTTGTTTATTTACTCGTTTTGAAACAAAAGTTGCTACAGTAAGAATCTTCGTCACTATTGAAATATATACATGCTCCACTTAAGCATAATAGTCAGAGTGATACTCTAACCACTTACGAAAATGAATATATATATATAGTGGTGTTTGCTTCCTTAACGCCTTCGGAATTTCTAAAAAAAAAGTATTAGAAGCACATGCAAATTAGAAACAAGAATCAATCTCTCTTTAGTTTTGTTACAATGTTTTATATTACAATGATTTTATATTTCTACAGCATTAAGGTCACTTGGAAACTATAGTATTTAAGTTTGTCATCAAGACTTACTGCATAAATGTATTACTTCAGTTTCACTTCATAATGGCTTTGTGAACTTTCTGTTGAAGACTAGAGAATTTCTTTTGGATATCAGAACTATGGAGACACATCACCCACTAGGTGATTAGAGACAGTATTCCTTCCTTGGGTATTTTAAACAAAAGTTAAATTATAATTGTTGAGTAGAATCAATTGTGTACAGTATATAAATGCATGATCTTTGTGTCCTAAGCTGCAGTAATATTAGTATGAATTAGAGCCTTCTTGCAGTAAAATGGCAGGTGCGTTTGCCCTTGACAGTAGACTAACACTAATTATTGAGTAATGTTTATGTTAGGCACCTGCTGCACTGCTTGCAGATTAGTATCAAATTAGCAGAGGGGAAACTGTTTTGAATGGCTTGTCACTTCTGACCGAAATGTTTTCAAAAGTGAGGTGGGGGGGGGAGAAATGTTTCGAGACTTTGTCATCTGCAGTTAAGCCACCGAGGAAGACAAGTGCTGAGATTTGTGTAGCCAGATGAAGAGTTTTCCTTTTTCATGCTGCAATGGAAAATCCTTTCACCACACATCAGAGAATGCCAAGGGATGAAGCAATGGCTGAAAAAAAGTGAAAGAAGTCACAAACCTCCCTTCAGGTTACAGCTGAACACATGTAAGAGAGCAGTATTGCCTGATCTACAGTACTGTACAGTATATTGCCAGAACTGTCTGATTGACAGGGTAGTAGCCCTGCATTTACATTGGAAATCTTTAAAGAATTAACAAAACAAACTGATCTCATTTAACTTCAGAGTCTAATCCTCTTGGTCTTTGGATTTCATCTTCGTTCCTCACAAACACCTCAAATGTTATAACATCAGCAAAGAGACTGGACGAGAATGAAATAAAATATTTGCTTGTGTTATGGTTTAGCTCTATACAGTACCTCTTGGTCTGGCTATCTTATACTTCAGTTTAGAAAATTAATATGTGCCAGATTACCCTGGTTCTGTAATTCACAAACTTTTTTTCATAACTGGTAAAAAACTTATCCTCTTTGCAGATCACTATTATGACAACATTTGTATACTTTGCTCACCAAAAGTATTGCAGCAAAGTCAAAGCTTATTTGTGTTGTGAAATAAAGCCATTTTGAACTTCAGTTAAGCTTAGAATAAATGATAACTTCAATATAATTTATATTTTATTTTTCGATAATCTCATTCATGCATGTGATCATTTTAGAATAAGAACATACTCTGTGATTTCAAGTGACCATGCGTACTGGGACAAATTCAGTTTAAGTTAGTTTCAGAGTATAAAAGTTGGTATTTATTTGCATATTTTCCATCTTTGCAAAAGGAAAAATAGTGGGGGAGGGGACAGCATTGTTCTATTAATATTCCTTTCACAGTTTGTTTCATTTTACTAATATCCTTTTGAATTTGGGGCTGACTGTCTCTTTGTTCTCATACAGAAAGCATTCTGAGTTGTTATTTTACTCTTAGTTATTAATTAATCAATCTGCGTGTGAGATTTTCTTAAGCAGCTATTTCTACCAGTAGCACAAGTCACTCATCAGGAGAGGGGTACAATTCCATTTTCTCAACATCTGTATTTTTCTCAAACAGAACATGGGGCAATTGTGTAGAGATGTAATATTATTTACCTATTTCATTTAAGATAAATCACTGCTTGTTATTAGTGTAATCCTCTATTATGGGCACAAACCCAGAGGTCTGTTTGTTTAAAGCAAACCAAAGCAAATATGGGTCAATTGGACTCCTCTCATTTGTTTCCTTCAACAAGATAATATCTTATAGTCTTTTATGTTTTCTGCCATTTGGGTTTTCAATACAGTAGTAGCTAAGAAGAAGTAAGAATGAGGAAACTAGTCTGAACTCTAACACATATGTTTTTGTTTTTCATTGAAAACATTTATGGGAATTTTATGAAGGAAAATGGTTAGTAGAGACATTCCCCTGTGCAACGAGACATTTTAGGAAAACTTGTGTAACGAAAGGCCATTCTGTTTTCCACAAATCTATAAAACCAATCTGTTTCAAGTTGTGTAATAACTCTTGGGCAGCAAGGCAGTCCCCTTGTCCATTTCTAGCTTAATACACAGTGTTATTACTGCCGAACTGGTTTATACAGTAGTTAGCAATATCACTATCAGCATTTAGGTTCCAGTGCTCTGTAATTCGTGACAGTTTTAATAAGCTGGACACGAATTCATTTGGATATAAAGGTGGTGATAAAACTTTGGGCTTCTCTGAACCTGAAAAACCACTTGGCAGCTGATATAGAAGATTATTACATATAAATAATCGTGAACAGATTTCAATGTTCACAAAAGAGACTCTTAGGTGTAGATGGATTATGGATATTTTTTTTTTTATTGCTATGATTGTTTTTTTGCAGGTTTATAAAAGATGTAGAATACAGAAATCCTTATGAGAAGAGTGTATCCCAAAAATTGCTTTTAAAAAACATATTCCACCATCATGTATTAAACTGTGTAGGAAATGTCCTATAATATATATTTATATGTAATTTCATCCTCAGCCTGGGATCAAGCAAAAATTGAACTATGATGGCGCACACTCTTTACAAGTGTCCACTCTTTCACAAAGTAACAGAGCTTTGATTGGTAAAATGAAATACCAGTCACAACACATCTGTTTATAACAATAAAAATTAAGACTTTATTTTATATTTACATGATTAATGAGAACACAATCTTCATAAACACTTTGACACAAAGTCATTATTACTTGGTCTTATAAAAATATATTAATTGCAGACTGGAAAATATGTGCCTGCTGTTACAATTTGTTTGCTTTCTTATGGTACACATCACTGTATAGAGTCTAGCGTAGTGAGGTCTATGAATAAAGATTAAAAGTTTGTCAGATAAATACAAAATACAGACTGGCTTAACAGTATAAGTGTAATAATACTTAAATTTTATTTTTTATACTTTTGGTGTCCTCAATTAAAACCAACCAATGCATCTTTGTTGCAGATTTTTTCATTTTAATAAATTAACTCAAACATTCTGTTCTATGAAGCTCACAGATTAAACATTGAATGTACATTTAGTGTCTCCATAGCTATTTATTCGAAAATGGAGTCCATTTCAGAGCCCTACCATATCAGTAACTAACAAAAGGAAAATTAGCAGCTGTCATTTAAATAAATGGCTATGTTTTGAAAATATTCAAATATAGACTTCAATATAGAGACTGAGTTGATGTCTACTTTAGAGAAGGAAACTGTAAAGGCTGATAGTATGCCCAGAGGTGTAGATTTTGCACATTTAAAGTCAGAAAAATACAATTAAAATTAATTATTTTTGCTGTTGTGTCTCAGCCTTAATTTTACATTCAAGTATAATAGCGATATAAATCTTAATGAAACTACTAGGCCACAACTCGCAGCTTTGGGTGACTTTTTTCACTCAAATATTTCACACAAAGGTACTGCTTAGTCTAGTCTAGTATAGAAGCACAGATCATCCTGGTCTCAGTAAACTCAGAAGTGCTCCTGAGAGGGACAGAAGTACCCACTCATAAAAACTGAGACCTGGGAATTTTCAGACTTCTCTCTTCTGCCGAGCTATTAATAGATCAACGTATTTAAATAGGCTTAACGTCAACAATGAAGAGTCTCTGGAAGCTGTCCTAGGCTTGTCTGGACATATTGAGATTGTATGTTTAGCAACAATCTTTTTTTAACTTCCCTCTAGCAATGTGATTGTATGCCTGCAGCTGATAAAGAGACAGCAGGAAGATGATTGTCACATGGACCATTAGTAACTGACTACCCACAATCAAAAACAGAAGTTGTTTAAAATACATTGACACTTTAAAATAAGCATCCTTGAGCCCACCACTATTGGCCAGTTTTCATTGTACTCTTGATGCACCTGCAAGATGTGTACTATCATCTGAGAGTCTGAGTCAGGCCCTGTATGATGTGTAGGGCCTGACACAGATGGTTAAGATACAAAATCCTGCTGTTTTGTATGAATCTTCTCAGTTTTCTATTCGGGGATATTTGTGTAGGATTTATATTTAGATCATGATGAAGCTTTTTGTAATACGACACAAAAAAGAAACTATTAGGAAGAGGAGTCCAGGACAACTACATTATTCAGCAACAAAATTATTTAAATGTAGTATTAAGCTCCAGATGAATACCTAATGCAAATTTAAATTTTGCAGCTGAGCATTTCAGTTGAGACTGAAATAGATTTCTAAGAATAATCACCTCACTGTATATAACTGCTTTAATCTTTTAGTCTGGGACACATTTTTGCTTATTGGGGTCCTGTTGAAGAAGGAAAAATA